ACGATCACGATCACGATCAGGAACGAGTCCGAGTACCGAGTAACGAGTAACGTCGAAACGGGAACGAACGGGACGCGAGACGCTGGCAGCGGCTTCGCGAGCGAAAATTCCCGGCAGACGGTGAGGAACGGAGTAGGAAGAACGGTGAGCGTCGTGGTCGTCCTCGGGATCCGCGAGGAGGAGTAACCGGCGACGACGACGACGACGACGACGACGACGACGACGAGAGACGATTCGTGGTGGAAGAACGGGTGCCGAGTTGGACAGCGATTCTCTATGCGATGGCAACGACGCTTCTTCGGTCGGTTGTGCGCTGGATGGCAGGCACGCGTGCGGTTAATATCGTGCGGGGGATCGGCGCGTGTGTTGCACGCGGCATGCACGAGGAGCCTCGTGTCACGTCGAGGCGGAGAAGGGATTGTCGGTGGCCCCGCGTCGGGCGCGCGCGACGGTTCAAATTAGACTGAACGGCCCGCTCGCGCAGCCCGAGGCCGGCCACAGCGCCAGCGACTCCTGGCGGACGCCGGTCGAGGCTCTGCGCGCGCACCGACCGAAGCGGCCACACCGGGAACCCCGCGCGGCCGCGCGCGCTCTCGCTACACACTCCGCTCCACTCCACTCCACTCCACTCCACTCCACTCCACTCCACTACTACACACAGCCAGACGCCAGACCACGGGACCTTTAAGAACCTGTGTAACGACGACGACCTAACAACCGAGGAACCGCACGCGTCATCCTTCTCCCTCTTCTCTCTCTCGCGCGCGCGTCTCCTTTTTCCTTCCTCGATGCACACACAACCAACTTCATCCGTCTCCGATCCTAACTAAGTACTCCAAAACATAAATGTTCCCTTTGTCACACCGCGCGCGCGACTGCCCTCGTTTTCTTTCTTTTTTTTTTCTTTTTTTTTTCTTTTTTTTTTAGATTATGCACCTGCGTGACTTCGAATCGTAATCGAACGGCATAAACTTGCCGGTCGCTCGCCGAACCGCGCGGACTCGGCGAGTGTCGCGACAAATCGCCACCGACCGCGTTCTCACTCGACGTTCACCGTGGAAATTCTAATCGGAGCGCGGAACACGGTGTCAATCCGTCGGACAACACGTCAAATGTTCGCGCATTAAAGATGGCGCGGTGGCGTCATTAACGGTAAACTTGTGAAATGCGCTGCGAAGCGTCTTCATGCGCTTGTTGCAGCACGCCTCGCGTTACAAATTCCATTCTTCGTTTTACGTCGTATTTTCACGCGGTGTTGACGTACACGGAGGTTCTACTGACCCTCGTCACGTTTATTTTTTGTTTACGCTTTTTGTGGAGGTTTCACTTTGCTCGGTGCGCTAAGGCGACACGGTTCAGCGCACAATAAACGCCTTTCTCCGTCTCGCTCGATCCTACGCCACGACGTTAGATTGTCCTTCGTTCAGACATTTATAAGTACAATCTAGTGGACGACGTTGTTACTTTTTATCCTTTCCCTCTTTTTTTTCTTTCTTTTTTCCTCTTCCTCCTCTTTTTCTTTATGCTTATTTATGTCCCGAGAAAATCTCGTTCCCAGCCATGAAATGCACATCAGGCTCTCTCTCGTTAGTAGTAGTATCATTTTTATTTCGTTT